AGTATGGACACAAATTTTTGGAATATTTTCAATCATTGGCTGGTTGGCTCCTAGCATGGAACCCACAGCTCTGGAGGCTGACGGTTTGATGAATTTTTCCTATACCAATTTAATGTTTACCTTTCACGGTCTTTTCTTTAAGGTGTGATGGACAATATGGAATTAGGAAATAATACTAGGAAGGAGAGAGGGCGAGCTTGCCATTCTCCACTAATTCCTGAGGGCTTCCAGGGAGAGCAGGAATGATGGACAGGGTTTGTGTCCACAAGGCTTCTGTGCATGGGGCTTTCATGGGTCAAGGAATGTCTGTGTAGTGACATCATTCCCAGAGCCAAGGTGCGGAAACACCCTAGGGGCCCATCTGTGGAGGAATAAAGAAAAGTATGGTATATGCGCATAGTGAATATTATTTAGCCACAAAAGAAGAATGGAATTCTATGATACATAGCGAAATGGATGGAGCTGGGGGACCTGATGTTAACTGAAATAAGCAGATCCAGAAAGACAGCTACTGCATGTTCTCTCTCATGTGCAGAAACTAAAAGAGAGAGAGAGAGAGAGACAGAGAGAGAGAGAGAGAAAAGCTGACCTGATGTTGAATACTGATTAGAGTTTGAGAAGCAGGTAGAAAAAGGGAGGTTGATTTGATCAGTGCACACTGGACACATGTACCATAAATCACACTGAGCCCCATTAATATGTGTAATTAATACATTAATCAAAAATATATGTAACCCCAAGGAATCATTCCGAATGGGGGATGTACAGGGAACCTTAGGAGGAAGGAACATCTGGCTCAGTGTCAGCCTGTTTGAAGTGCCTCCTAAGGAGCCTGTGCTCAGGAATCTGACCCGGGGAACAAGCCCACGAATGCTGAAGTTGGCGGCTCTCCATGCCGAATCCCCTCCTGGAGACCCACAGTGCTCTGGAGAGCAGGGCTGTAGAGAGCTCTGCTGTTCCTGCTTCTTCCAGTGTTTCCCAGGACCATGCATGCAGAGGCCCTTATATAACGTGACTCTTAGCCTCTCATGACTTCTAGCATCTGTGTGGAACGAGCTCCAACAGGAGGAGGCTGTAGGAAGACAGAGCTGTCCCTTATGCTGGGCTGAAAGTAAACAGTTGGTGCTGTTAAAGGAGGAGTCGCCTGGGAAGGTGGAGGCCCTCTTTTTTGTTCAGGAGTCTGTGAGGGATGCTGTGCCTCACTTCCGAGAGGGGCTGGGTGATGGAGGTTCTGCCATTATAAACCCAATGGCCCTTCCTTACACTGGAGCTGATGCGTCAGACAAGCAGATTTAGAGGCCACACCCGGGGTGAGCAGCTGGGCCCAGGTGGCCTGGGACTCCTCTGGTTTAGTTCTGAAGTCCTGCTTCTCAGGACCCCCTCAGCCCAGAGCAGACAGGGTGGGGTTACTCTTAGGTTGCGTCCCAAATTTGCAAAGAAAAAAAGAGTGTTTTTCATTCTTCATAAATATTAAGTGATGTTGAAATGGTTTTGAGTGGAGGAGCATATTTCAAGTTTGTAAAGATAGTTATTGAACATTGAAATTCTACTAGGAAATAGAGTTTTCATCAGGGAATTGTTACTGGGAGATACAGATTTTCTTGAGCTTCTTTTATTGAGAAGCTTGTTTTCCAGTTCTGGTCATGATGGCTTGTCTACTGGGAAATGCATTTGCTGCATCAAGCAGTTATTGGATGCCTTTCCTTTAGTCTAAGCCTCATTATTTTCCCTGTGTGGTGATGAGACAAGATACTACTCTGTATTCCTATTAATGAGCGACCTCACAAAGTTTGTAACATTAACTTTGATCCAAGTATTTGTAACAGTGCCTGCGTTGCTTTTGAGCTGTGGCTTGTGGCTGAAATAACTTAAACATAAAATGATAGGGGAATAATCTTGAATTTATTTCTGATAAACTCTGCAACTTAAGCCTTGTTATTTCAGTAAAGGTGAGGCGTACAGGATACTAAACTCCTCTCTTACTGTGTGTGTGTGTGTGTATGTGTGTGTGTGTGTGTGTGAGAACACATCCTGCCACTAGGGGGCAGTATCCCCGAGACCAATGCAGGACTTCGCAGCTGTGTGGTTAGGATGGGTGGGACTTGGAGATCCAGGAGTTTGCAAAGTATTATGCCCTGAAGGTTAGGAAGCGTCCCTGCAGGGAGTGAGCCTGCCTCTGGACTGCTTGTCAGCCTTAAGGGAGCCTCTTTCCTGGCTAAGCGTCTTCATGTGAAACCAGGGAGTTGAACAAGATTAACTCCAAACTCATTTCTGATTCTAATTTCTGCAGAACCCAACCTTGTCTAAAAGCAGCTTGGGATAAAGGTCTTTTGAGGGCGTGGTGTAGAATCCTATTTTGCTTCTTTCCAGCCAAGCTCATGTTTCAGTTGCCTCCGCATAATTCTCTTTCCTTGCTTGGGTGGTTGATTGTGTTTCCTACAAACTCATTCCCGAGTTAGAAGCTTGTTACTTCAGAGGGCATGGTCTAGAGTCCTGCCTGGTTCACACCTAGGGCCCAGGGGAATGCCTGTCAGCTGCTTTATTCTCTGCTGTTGGTTTTTCTAAGAAGCTCAGCTGTGTCACATTTAAAAATCACAGCTGTCCTCCTCTGGAAGTGAAGGGCTTTTCTCTGGGTGCTAGCTGTTCATCAAGACAACTCACACTCTAAGCACTCTGTCTCCAAATAAACTTTCACCCATTTTTAGGAATGAAAAAAAAAAAAAGTCAAGCGCCAGAGAAGATAAATTCTTGAAATCTGATGGCTTCCAGATAATGTCAGATGTGATTGCAAGAAAAATGGTATAAAATGTAGATTAACATAAATCTATAACTGCTCAACTTGATGAAAAACATCACCACAAGATCCTTCCATTACTGAACCAACTGATATAGCTTTTCCCCCCTATGACATTTTGTGAGAATGAATAAATTATCTGAGAATGTCTTTGCATCAGAAATATACAATTTTTTAATAAACACATAAATCATCCAAGCATTTTTCCAGCAAAATGCCGGATCCTAAAAATGGGAAGTATTCTGTTAACTTCCCCCCTTCCAGCTTCCTACTTGTGTAGCAGCTTAGAGCTCCAGGCAGGAGTGCAGAACCATCCACTACGTAAAGACTAGGACTCCCTCTGAAGGAGGCTGCTGGCGGCCTCCTCTTAAGCCCAGCAAGCCTCGGCTGTGTGAGCCTGGTTTGTGCTGAGGTCCTCTCTGTATTTATGACCTCATGTTACACAGGGGTTTACTTTAATAAACATTTTTTTTTGTAGCTGTGATCTACATCAGCACGCTGTACACAGTAGGCAGCATTAATATGATCCTGAGAGATACGTCCTGTTGCTTTCCCTAAGGAACTGGTTTGCTTTTTATTATAGGAAATTAATAACACATAAAGGAGCTTGATTTCCTTTTTGCTCATGCTACCAGGAAGCTTACAAGCCAACTAGCAATTTGATTTTAATGGAATTTAGCAGTGTGTATCTGACAATCCTACGTTTTATGTTAATCATATCATCTAAGTAGATTTCCCCTAAGATTCTAATGTTCCTCTCTCTTATTGTTCAAGTTTTTATTAACTACTCCAATACTTTTGTGAACTCAAGTGAAGTGTAGATAAGCACCCAGATGGAGAAATAAGTAGTCATGTGGATATGTGAATAATGGCTGAATAAACTTTTGAGCTGAAGAAGCAAGGACATCGTCCTCAGGGAATTATAAGAAGATAGCACAATCATGCAGTCCTTTCTCATTGGTTTTTCCCAAGACCCTTTTCTCACCGAAAGCCTACAAGCATACTGTTATGACCCAGGACATTATTGTGACCCTCTGGGCTCCTGGTCCCTTTCTCTGACAAGAGGAGTGAAAATACCTTTTCTGAGAAGGAAAATGCATCAGTCAGTGGAACTGAGTCCTAAATCTGTGTGCATGGAAGCTAAAGCTGTGTGCATGGAAGTCTTTTTAAGGACTAGAGACGTACAGGGGGATCCCACCTCCTCAGGGAGGTCCCTGCAGCGAGCTGTCAGCAGGCCCTGCCCAAGGCACAGATGGAGAGGAGAAAAGCCTGGCTCAGAGAGGCTGGTGTCTAATTAGGGCCCCACAGTGGGGAGCAGCAGAGCCTGGGTTCTTTCCTGGCTTGTGCACCCTGCTCCCTGCTGTGAGCATCTCCCACTACCCCTTGCAGGACCCCTCTGCCTCTACCCTGCTCTCTGCCCGGACACTGACCATCAGGGACACACAGGCTGTGCCACACTCTCATTCTGGATGAGTTCAGCCATTGGGAAGCTCCCACAAGAGCCGTCCCTTCATTCCTCTGGTCTGGGTGGTGACAGGAAGTAGCTCCTTTGTACTCTGACTTGACTGTGTGTGCTGTCTCCTGCTGGGACCCTAACTGTGACATTGTCTCATCAAAGAAAAGGTGGCACCAGCAAGACACCACAGAATACAGGATCAGACACAAGAGGAGAGTGATAGGTTTCAGTATTGGGAAGTGCTCGGGGAGGGTGAGAGAGGCTCTGTGATGGCCCCAGTCCTAGCAGCCCTACCCAGCCAGACTTCATTGGTGCTTCTGGCTCAGGTGAAATGGATTATTTCCTTTCAGGCTGGTACCTGCATTTTCATCTTCAAATTGAATTGTTTGGCCTGAATATTTAAAATCTGCTTTCATGTTAATTTATCAACATTTTACATAGATTTCTATTTTGTGATTTTGCTGGGTATGTGGCTATAGAAACCACAGAGTTATGTATTTAAATGTAATCCATGTGTTTGAAAACAATCCGTCTCTCATTATGCGGCAAAATATGAATTTTGTCAATTTCTCTGTCCATAGGCAACACAATGAAAAAGCACAAGCCTGCCTGACTCTAAACGACATATTTCCTGAAGGGTAATTCGGTAGATCACCTTGTGAAAGGTCCCCACTGTCACCACCAACAACACAAGATCTTAGAAATAAAGTAGACATTCTCACACTTGGAACTTCTGTGCCATGACTTTACCTCTGGTGTGGTGTCTTCTCATGTCCTTGGAAACGGCTTTGTCTACCTGTAGAAGACAATATGACACCGTTATCACTCTGATGTCATCTAGCATCCCCGGCTCTGTGTGAGTGGAACCCAGAGACAAATGCGCAAGTCCCAATGCACTGGGTGCAGGATGCCTGTGGCAGCCAGGGAGGGACATGCAGAATGTGAACTGCCACAGGGAAGGACGCAGTGGCTCCAATGGTATTTGTCATTAACTCTTGGGTTTGGATTCCTTGGAAAATTGGGAATGGAACCACCATTTGACCCAGCTATCCCACTCCTTGGTCTATACCCAAAGGGCTTAAAAAGAGGTTAGAAATAGTGGTGGAATGTGATGATCATTACTATCCAAAGTACATGTATGAAGACACGAATTGGTGTGAATATACTATGTATACAACTGGAGATATGAAAAATTGTGCTCTATATGTGTACTAAGAATTGTAATGCATTCCACTGTCGTATATAAACAAAAATAAAATAAAATAAAAAGACTCTGAGGCCAGTTTGCACCATGGCGTTAATATGAAGATCCGGCTACCTATCAGGCACAAGGAAGCCATTGAGCAGGGGATCAAAGCGGGGCCCTGTGTAAGCTCCGGCTCGGATGCTGCCTCCACCACGTGCTGGCTGTGACAACACAGGTCACTCCCCCTGCCGAGCCTGTTTCCTCATCTGTGAAATGGAGCTAACAGGAGGACAGCGTCCTTGTGAGGACAGGAGGGGATGTGACACCGCGGGCAGTGTGCCTGGAGGATGAGGTGTCGCCGTCACACTGAACTCCACCAGCGTCCTTATTGACACGTCACAGACCTTTGTGCGCAGCTGACTGTCGCGCAGGGACCCTGGCCGCAGGGAGGGGCAGGTGAGGGCAGGTGAGGACGCTGTCCTTAGGAGCCAGTTCTCTGCCTGCCTTGGCCCAGACCAGCACTGGGCCGAGTGCTTCTCTTGAGGGCACCGAGTCGAGGTGGTCACAGTGGATGCTGTGCTGCTGGTCAGTCTGACCCGGCTGAGCGCTGGCTGGAAGTTCTTGTGATTCGGCCTCCTATGCCGCGCCAGCAGCCTCGGCTCCGCCAGAGTCACCTGTGGGGACCCGCGTGCTGGAGGGTCAGTAGTGTTCTTGGTGCACCTCACTCCTGTGCACCTGCCCCACGGGGAGGGTCTGCCCAGTGTCCTCAGCCCACCCCTTCCTAGCCTGCTGTGGACGCAGGAAGGTGCTCTGATGTCCCATTGCAGCCCGGGCTCAGAATGCCAGGGGCTCAGCACGGGGCTTCCTTGGGGCCCCCCAGGGCTCCCGCTCTTTGGCCTCAGCAGCTAAATTCTGCTTGGTACCTTCGGTGGACCTTCTGCAGGAGTTTCTTGTGTCTCCCCCCGGGACAGGTGCCTCTGGTGGTATCAGCACAGGACCCCGGGCCCAGGAAAGCTTCCCGTTGGACTTCTGGCATTTTCCATCAATTCCGGGTTTCCTGGTGCCTGCTGTGTGCCCGCAACAGTGCTGGGTCTTGAGGGCGCCAGAGCTTGGAACCTGGCACCACCGGCTTACAGGTTCTTCAGCCTCAGCTCTGTTGAGATTTGAGGCTTGGTAACTCTTTTCTCTCTCTCTCTCTCTCTCTCTGTGTGTGTGTGTGTCTCCTGTGTCCTGGACAAGGCTTAGCAGCCCCTCATCCTCACCCACTAGACGTCAGAACAACACTGGAACAACCCAGAAGTCTCTGTTCTTTGCCAAAGGCCCTGGAAGGCAGCGCTTCCAGCCAAAGGCACTGATGACCTTGCCTTAGAGGGTGTGTGGGACTGCTCTGCTCGGCCAGGGCCTCCGTAGAGGCCACTGCGAGCAGCTCAGCCAGGCAGCTGGGTGCTCTCTGCCTCTGGTGCTGGCCTCGATGCTAGCCCTTCCGATGGCATGGAGACTGCCCACGGGGCTGGCTGCCTCCTTTGCTAGATGAAGGGCACTAGCTCATCTTTATCCTCCCACCACCAAGCATAGTGCTTGGTTCACAGTAAGTGCCCCCCAAACAGCAGCAGTCTGGGACAAGACTATTGTAGCCACCCCAGGAGTGGAGATAAGAACTGGCCTCTGTAAGAGTTATTGATGATCCGTTTCACAGATAGTTTAATGTCAACATGAAAGTACAAAAGAAGACTCCGCCCCTGGAAATGAGGTGGTAATGAAAAGATAATCTGCTTATCATAAAAACTTTGATGAGTCAAATAGTAATTATAAAAGTAAAACTCTCTTTATCTGAATGGAGGCTAAGACCTTGTTTAACTTAGAAGACAACCTCTCTCCTGGCCACATTTTCCCTCCTTCCTCTCCAGCCTTTTCTCTTTCTCCCATGATCTCCCTTGACTTCATGGAGTGAGACTGTGGTTCCACCTGCAAAGTGACCTAGCTAGAGGAAGAGGTTTGTTGGAATTGGAAGCTACGAAGATGACAGGAAGGAACGTAAAGTACTAAGAACAGAGTCTTAAATTTTGACAATTGTTTTAGAAAAGTCAAATGAGGATTATTCTTCCTAAGCAGCAACAACAAAAATTCCACCCACCGAGGGCTCATCTTTGTGCACACGGGATGGTCAAGGGCTGAGGTAAGGAAACTGAGCGCATCCACTCCTGCACAGCAGGGCCACGACTGTCGTCAGCCATGGGTCCCACCACTGTGGAGCTCTTTCTTCCCCAGACATGGGCTGTGCTTTACCAGAGTGTCCTGATGCCCTCCTGCCTATCAAACCGCCCCCGAAAGGGGACTGTGGCCCCCTTCGCTTTCTCCCTCCACTGCACTCACCCCCCCCCCCCTTTGCCCTTCCGCCATGGCCTGATACAGAATGAAAGCCCCTGCCAGATGCTGGCACCTTGACCTTCACTTCCCAGCTCCCAGACGGTGAGAAACCAGTTCTGTTCATTATCAATATCCAGTCTCAGATATTTTGCTACAGGTACACAAACAGATAGAGACATTGTTGGTATTAACAGAAGTCCCCAAGTCATAAACAATGTGAACATACAATGCACAAACTAAGAAAAAGTTATCAGTGAAATTCTTTCTTTTATAAAAAAACGATGATTAAAAAAGTAATATCCCATTTTGGTGTGAGGTCTAGAAATTGGACATTCCTGTACAGGGCTTCTAGGGAGGTAAATTGAAACTAATTTTCAGGAAGAAAATTAAAAAAATTATGTCACAGAAATGGTTAAAATATTTTCACTCAATGGTTAAGAAGAAAAATTAAAAATTTTATAATGGGTATGACAGATCTATAAAAATACTACTTCTGAGCCCTTGTTTATCAAACGGAAAATTTTCTCAATGTGAAAAGAAGAGAAAACCAGGTATAGATCATATACAACAAGCATTCTTTTGCATGAAATATAGCTGCATAGATATGCATCAAAATATTGTGGTCAATAACACTACAGCCCCAGGGGCGTGGGCGATGAGTAATCTATTTTATGCATTTCTTCATTAAGAAAATTAAATGTTAGCAAGCTTCTTATTAAAAATAAAAATCCATATACATTTCCATTTACAAAATACTTCCATAAAGTTATCTGTGGTAGTTTTCCAAACGGCCCTTGGAAGCAAGCTTGGCAGGGATGTTCATTCCTGTTTTGCACATGAGGTCAGAGAGGCTTGGAGAGGTGGTTGGACCACCCAGTGAGCAGTTCAGGATACTGGGTGGAGACTCTGGGAAAAATGATGTGATGATTGGAAAGATTTGATTGTTAAGTCCTGGCTCCAAAGAAAGCAGGAGGATCAGATCAGATGTACGGGTAAGTCGTGGCCCGATGCGTGGCTTACGGCAAACCTTCAACAAAAGCTAGTTCTTCCTTCCAGATGCTTCCATAGCACCAGGACCCTACCAGTCATGTGTCAGCTCCTTAACCCCTTGAACCTGTCCTGCTTGTTACCTAGAGAGATGCCTTGGGGACTTGGCTGGGGCCACTCTTCCCCTGGGCTCCCACCAGTTAGGAAGTACCCTGCTTGGGTTGGGGGTCCCATGGTCCAGCTTTTACTCACTTCTTCCAGCCTCGTCCACATGTTCCAGGATGGCCCCAGAGAGGGCAAAGAGGCCTTGGCGTGAATCGGAGGAGAAGTGTCCATCACACGCTTGAAGCAGCGCGTATCTGTGCAAAGAGGAAAAACAGCAAAGTCAGACCCTGCAGCTTACAGAATCTGTACACGTCTACAAACTCAGAATCATCACAACATAGGGATGAAGCATACCACCCGCCTTGACTTATCCCTTGAGGAGAGAGGTGCCAACAGGAGAAATTGCTCCTGGGGTTCACACAAATCCACGCTGAAGTCTGGGCTGGCTGTCCTTCATATTTTCATCCCCTGAGACAGGCTGCTAATCCTTCAATGGAACCGCCATTTGACCCAGCTATCTCATTCCTCAGCATCTATGCAAAGGACTTAAAATCAGCATACTACAGTGACTTGGCCACATCAATGTTTATAGCAGCCGAATTCACAATAGCTAAGCTATGGAACTAACCTAGGTGCCCTTCAACAGATCAATGGATAAAGAAAATGTGGCACATATACACAATGAAATATTACTCAGCCTTAAAGAAGAATGAAATTAAGACATTTGCCAGTAAATGAATGGAACTGAAACTATCATGCTAAGGGAAATAACCAATCCCCCCCAAAACCAAAGTCTGAATGTTCTCTCTGATATCCAGATGTTGACACACAAGGGGTGGGGGCAGGGAAGAATAGAAATTCACTGGATTAGACAAAGGGGAATGAAGGGAAGGAAGGGGGAGTGGGAATAAGAAAGACAGTAGAATGAATCGGGCATAATTTGCCTACGTTCATATTTGAATGCATGACCAGTGAAACTCCACAAGATGTATAACCACGAGAACAGGAAGTTGTATCCCATAAATGTATAATATGTCAAAATGCATTCTACTGTCATGAATTTAAACAAAAACAAAAACAAAAACAAAAACCTATGCTCTGCCGCCCCTCTCCCTAGGTCCTTCGCCCCCACCACCCCAGCCCGGGGCCTCATTTGACAGAGTATTGCATTCCTCTGTTCATCGTTTCTGCCACTAGATGGAGACCTTCAGGAAGGGATGGGCTACCCTTTCTTTGGCCCTGTGACCAGATCAAATCTAAAATGGTAGCTGGAGCAATGCAGTTACTCAGTGAATGACTCTTCAGAAAATGAACAAAAGGTCATCATCATCATTATTTTCAAGATGATTCTTTCCTAAAAAAGTCCATAGATCCACTTCAGCAAGCCAGGCCCTCAGGAACCCCACGGCCCCCCTTTCCTTTCCCAGGTGTGTTTTGCTAAGGTTGGAGAACCCTGGATGCTGCCCTGCGTGCCCCAGGGGGAGGAGGCCAAGGCAGGGTGAAGCTGGTCTTCCTCCTAGCGGGTGTGACTTCACGGCCATGCCCTGGAGGTCCTCCGAGGCTGCTCAGCCAAGCTAAAACCCCAGCTTTGACTCCTCTCCTTCGCCATGCCACCTCCATCTTAACTTCCCCGCGTGGCCCACGGCCCTGCCTGCCCACCTTCTGCCATGCTCCCAGGGCTCAGGAAGGGCCTCATCGTGAGAGTGACAGCTGACCGTTCGGGGCTTTGTCTCGGTGCCAGGTCCTCTAGTGGAAGCTCAATGTTCCCTTCACGTGATCTTCTACAAAACTGTTCTGTTATTACAAAACCCGTGTTTGATAGAGAAAGGGACTTCCAGATACGTGCTCCAGGTCACACAGCCGGGAAGCCAGGGAGGCAGGGTCTTAACTGAGGGTTGTTTACTTTAGAACCCGCCCCCTTATCCCTGCGTGTGGGGTACAGCAGTGCAGAGGAGCACCTTCAGGCTTGAGGCAGCCCCACGTTACCTGCATACTCGGACTCCTTGATAGGCCTGGCGGGCAGGATTTTCAATGATGGCCACACGTCCACCATCTGGAGCTCGGGGTCCTCATACTCATCCTCGCTGTGGTATTCTGTCACATCCGGGGCTGCAGCGAATTTCCTTTCCTAGGTAGGCAGCAACATTCCAGGGAGTCAAAGGAAGGGACAAGGCTGGAAGAGGGCAGAGGCTGCAGAGCTGGCTGGGAGGGACAGGGTTCCTTAGCTGCAACTTCACTGATAGAAAGGCCTGGGGTCTTAGGTAGGAATTTAATTCTTGTGACAGGCAGAATTCTAAAGACGTCCCTCAAATATTCTTATCTCTGACTATTCAATCAAATACCCACCTGGGTACTTTCGTGAAGGGACAGAACAGATTAGTTAGCTGACTTTAAAACCGGGAGTTGATCCTGGGTTTCTTGGGTGACCCCATGTCATTATGTGAGCACTTAAACACAATGAGGGCTCCGATTCCCTGATGTGATGATTTTCTATATATTTAAAAAATCCTAAAGGATTTACTAAAAATTATTGGAACTAATAAATCATTCAGAAAGTTATCAGACTGAATGACCAATTGGATATAAAATCCCATGTATGTGTATAAATTAGCAATAACAATTTTTATCTCTATAAACTAGCAATAATGATTTAAAAATCAAAATTAATAAAAATGACATTAACTATACCATCAAAAAGAATAAAATGCTTAAGAATAAATTTAGCAAAAGAAGTAAAAAATGTTGGCACTAAAATTTGCAAAAATGTTGTTGGAAGTTGGAAAGACACAGGACTTAATATTGCGAAGATAGGAAGACTGACATACAGATTCATCAAAGTCCCCACCAAAACCTCAGTGGCTTTCTCATGCACCAAGGGCGGGGCACGTGAGTCCACAGCAAGAGGGCAGCCATCTGCGACCCTATGAGAGAGCACACCAGCCCTTTGGCACTTTGATTTTGGACTTCTGTTTTCCAGGACTGTGTGAAAATAACTTGTTCCAGCCACCAGTCTATGGCATTTTGTTATGGGGCTCCAAGCAGACTAACGTAGGCACATATCAAAGGCTCTGGGGCTGACACCTGGCAATGGCAGGAATGGGTACCAGTCCTCAGTAGATGTCCTCACATGTAACGGTCATCACAGTAGCTATGCACTGGGGTCTGGAGCCAGCATGGTACCTTGTGTGAGCAGGGTCATGACTAAATTCTTGATTTCTTCCACCACCACAGAGTGACCCAGGGATCATTCATCCTCCCTGGATCTCAGAACGATCAACATTTCCCTAAAACCAATGTTAGTCTTTATTTGTGCCTGAGAGAAGTTCAAGTGCCAAAGATGGGATTGAGCCCATCAATGCTGAAGTTTTGAAGGATCTAAACAGCATCACACAAAGTCAAAAACACAGGAAGACAGAAACATCTAGTTTCATGCACATCCCCCAATTTGGTCCTCAGAATAAAGAAATTTTATCTTTCTTTTAAAACTATGGAACCTGGCGTCAGTGACTTGCTAAAGCTGCACAGGTCACAGGTGCCATTGCCGGGCAGAAACAGAACTTTTTTTTACTGTATCCACATTGGAACCCAGCACCAGAAATTCAAAATTTTTCTCCACCCCATAAATGAAGTGCAGAGCGTCCAGGACATTCCTTGGGTGGACTGCTACCCAGACAGGGCAGTGGGGACAGTGTGAGCCCAGGATGAGACTGATGGTTCTGCAGGGAGAGTCATTTCTTCCCAGTCCCAGCCTCACACCTCCACGTGGGCCACTGATCTCTCTGGACTCGGTGTTTTTACTCTCAAGGGCTGAAAATGTAAAGCTAAGTTGTTGCTTTATACCCTTAACTGTATTTGGGTTTCCCCTTTTTTTTTCCTTTCACACACAGTAGATTCTTTATATAAGATTGTTAAATAAGTGCCTAAAGTAATAGATTTTAACAAGGCTTAGGGTATAATTATTCCTATGTGTGTGATTTCAAAATTTTATTTATGCTATAATGTGTTGAGTTATAAAGGTATTTTTACTAGGATCCACTTCAAACCTATTTTTGAATCAGATGGCCACACACACACACACACACAATTAAGTCACACAACATTGTAGAATAACTTTGCAACCAGAAGTGCCTTAAGAACCCTTGAGACTGACAATAGATAAAAATGGATAGATATGACTCATCCCCAATAAATCTCTCCTCTCTCTCTCTCTTTCTACAAAGAAACAGACCAAAATATTATATCCACCACTGGGGACAAAAGTCTGGAAAGTCTGCTACATACTCTCTCAGTTGTGGTTCTTGGTGGCTTCCTGCCACCTCCTGCCCCATGGGGTCTAGCCAAAGGGTCGGATGAAAAGTAGGTTCTTCTAACAGGTCCCAGATTTCCCCAAAGAGGCCACACCCACGGCCCTAACAGTGCACCTAGTGTCCTTCCAACAAAGTCCATCTGTGGGCTCCTGAAGGGGTCCCCTGCATGCTCCAGTGCAGAACTCAGTTCTATATGCAGTTCCAGAACCAAGGCAAAGTCGTGAACAGAGTGCGTGATGGTGGATGCCCAGTGGGGTCCCCAGGCCCTTGTGCTGTGAGAGCAGGGAGGAGCCAGCCTGCCTCCAACCACCTCCCTCTCTCCTCTTGGAGCCTCTAGCCCTTACTAACTACTACATGCTTAGGGTTTCGTGTGCCTTCTAACGCGGTGTAAACAGGGAAATCCAGGGGGGAGTTTATTGCAGGGAGGGACCTGGGATGAGACAGACTAGTGGAAGTTCCAGCTCTGCCTCCTTACAGGGAGTTCTCTAAGCTCCTCAGGAGGGTTACTAAAGAGTCTCAGGGCTCCACGTCTATGCCTTTCCTGTCTTCCCCATCACAGAAGTTTGGTAAAGATGAGTTACGGAAGAGTCCAGTCTCCAGGTGAGCCGTGCTGCAGGAGGGACTCCCCAGGTCCCCAGGTGGGAGGTCCCCGGGCTGCCTTGGCTCTGAGCATTTTTGAGGTAAGGATGCAGAGGGCAGCCTGAGCTCGTGCTCTTCATGGGACACCATAAGAAGTGGGCTGAGGGGTCTGTGGACCACCATCTTGACTTCCAGTTGCTGGCCCTTGTCTCCCACCACCTGCTCCCAGCGGAAGGCCGGCCTCGAGTCTTCCCTGAAGAGAGGACTCGGTCAACTTGTCAAGTTTAACAGAGCAAAGCACCCAGTGACAAGGGGCCCTGCAGTGACCTCCCAGCAGGAACGCGGTAGAAGAGAAGAGTCTGGCACCTGAAGGACAGAGGGTAAGCCACGGGACACAGAGATGGAGCAGGACCATTTTCACGGCAGCCTTGGGGCTGTGCCTCAGAGACTGGGCGTTGTCCCTCCTCCGTCTGTCTCCTGGCCTGGCGTGGGAGGGAAGGAGGGCTAGGACTAGGAAGTTCCTGGATGTGAAACCAAGTAAGAAGCTGGGTGACAGCGTGGCTTTGTGGTCGCTCTGTCATACATCTAAACTGTGGTTTGCTTTCCGACTGTGGAGGCTTCTTGACCTTCCTCACTCAGATGCCCAGTCGGTAAACTGGAGACGACTAAGCCTACTTTACTTGGTCCTTAACTGAGGAGATGCCTATGAAGGCTCCACTTGGCATCTGCCCTATAAGGAGAGCTCAGTATCTGTTAGGAGGCTTCCGTCTCACTGATGTCTGGACTGGGCAGAGCCAGGGCCTAGGGCTGGGCAAGGCTTCTGGAAAGTGAAGTCCTGCAGACATGGTGGAGGGGCACAGAGCTGGGCTCTGGAACTGCATGGAAACTGAGTTCTTTGCTGGAGCACAGCAGGGGACCCCTTCGGGAGCCCACAGATGGACTTTATTGGAAGGACAACAGGTGCACTGTTAGGGCCATGGGTGTGGCCTCTTTGGAGGAAATCTGGGGCCTGTTAGAAGAACCTGCTTTTCACCTAACCCTTTGGCTAGACTCCATGGGGGCAGGTGGTGGCCGGAAGTCACCAAGAACTACAACTTTGTAGGTGTCAAAGGCTGACCAGACTTTCTTCCCTAGCGGTGGATATTTATATTTATTTTGATCTGTTTCTTTCTAGAAAGAGAGAGACACAGAAAGAGTGAAAGAGTGAAAGATTTGTTTGGGATGAGTCATATCTATCATTTTTTATCTATTATCTGTAAGTCTCAAGGGTTCTTAATTGCATGTCTAATATTAACTCTCCATGAGCCTCCTTATTTAAAAGAATATTGTGTGCTTGTGTGTGTGTGTGTGTGTGTGTGTGTGTGTCTCCTGGGTAGGGGTCCATTAGCCTGAATAAAAATTCTAAATAAGTACTTCAGAGTAACAAGTCAATGATTTTAGATGTAGATTTCACCTATATCTAAACATGTGTGAATATATAACTATTTAAATTATATGCATATATAATTTAACAATAAAATTACTTGTAATAGTAGATATTTGAGTTAATGTTCTAAATTTTAATCTTTTTTTAGTTTTTAAAATTATTTGTAAATATTTCAAATGGCTTCATAAGTGGATATAAGACATTCCACTATTTCTGTGTTACTGAATATTTAGCTTGGTTCCAATGTGTTACCATTTAAAATATATTATTACAAAATATCAGTGAATGTGTTTAAATAGTAATCTAAAATTTAGGTTAGTTCCTTAGTTTATACTGTTAATCACACACAGAATTATTGGGTCAAAAATTGTGTGTTTTATATCATTTAGTTAATATTGTGAAATTGCTTCTAGAAAGTTTCTTTCAATTTAAAATTTCACAATGAACAAAGCACCTTTTCCACAACACACTCATCAGTACAGTGTGTTGGTATCTTCACCTTTTTCAACCTTCACAATGATGTGAATTAAATTTTTAATCTTTATGCTATGACTGGGGAATTAGAACCTAGTTTTATACCCAAGGATTGAAGCGCACTTTTCCTTGCCAGGGAAGTAAGCCATTTGGAAAGTCTTCTTTCTCTTGTAAATTCATCAAATGACTTGAAAAGAGCCCCTGGCTTTGTAGGCGTCAAAGGCTCACCCAACAGTTAGGGCAAGCAGTGGACTTACCCAGCGGGGAAGAGGCTCGCAGATAGCCTGGTCCTGGGCTGCGAGAAAACACAGCAGACGTTAGTCACGGCCACCCTGCTGAGAGCTCCGAACACGCGGAGGACGGGACCCTGTTCCCCAGAAATCTCCTGTTCCTCTCAGTTCACCTTGCTTTACGACATGCCCACATTTCCCTCGCTTCCTGCTGCTCTTGGAACAGGGGGATGGACAAGGGGAAAGACGGAAACTCAGAGGGGACTGTGGAGCAGGAAGGCCCGCTCAGCTCTTTCCACAGCAGGTGGAAATGCTCCCTGAAAGAGGCAGGATGCCAGAGGAACCCCGCCCCACTGCACAAGCACAAGTCCCCAGAGAAGCCTTGTGTTTTTGATAGGTGTTTGTTGAATAAATATTATTCAGTTGAGGTTTCTCAAATCTCACCTCCCTAATTTGGGCTCCTGTTATAAAAGATTGCCTGAGGTCCTGCAGCCCACTCAATATTCGGTTTTAAACTTGACCTTCAGGTTATGTAAACCTCCAAGGAACTGCTCATGTGAACGCAGATTCCTTTGGTTCCTCGTAGACCTAATTTCTCAATTGCATCCTAGTTTCGTACTGTATTAGTCTGTGATGAGCATAAAAGCAAGAGACGTTCTTAATCACATTCTCTTCATTAGCACACACATGAGATGTTTCTTGCAGGCCTCAGGACCAGAAACTATGAGGTTTGTAGCAACTGGCTTGCTTTGATTTAATGGAAAACATTATTTCTGTAAGAAATTACTTTTCCCTCCTTCCTTTGGCTGCAAAGATCTTCAGGGCAAACTCCTGCCCTTCATCGGGTGTTGCAGAAGACCATGGTGTGGCCCCTGTGACATCTTGCTTCCGCTTCATGATTTTCTTAAACTCTTGTCCTTTTACCCCAAATGCCCTTACCATGCCAAAACGTGAAGCACACAGCTGTGAGTTGTGTCAGAATGCCCACATCTTTTGTAGCCTCACTCATGAGAGTGTGCTCAGTGGAAGCACTGTTCCTTAGTATCTGCCCAGGACTCATGCATGGGGGAAGTGCTAACCAGTCCAGGACAGTCTCTCTGGGATAAAGAGCCCGGAGGAGCAGGGTCCTGTCTGCACCTGACCCCTGTCCTAGCCTATGGGGTGGTAAGAAGAGCAGCTGACACTACCCTGGGCCATGACTGACAGCTTCCTGACCCAGCACAATTACGTCCCCACTGAGATCCCTGGCAGAGAAGTCACAAGTTTCCCAGCTCTTCAGAGTAGCAATTTGTACTTTCTCGTGAATTGAATTAAATCAATCAGGACAGTCATTCAGGGCCAGCTGGCCCGGAAGGAGCAAATGAGCAGAGAACTACTAGGGATCTGCTCTGGCCCTCCTCATCCAGGAAAGCAGCTCCTCCGTCTAATTCAGGGTTCAGTCTGACTTCATGTTGGGACATTGGCTTGAAGAGTGTGGTCATTTGATGACATCCCCAGGGGGCTCTGTGGGCTCTCTTTTCTCACCCAAGGCCAGCGTTCTGGTCTGAGACTCTCTTGGATTCCCCAAATATGCTTCATACCCCTTGGGTCATCCTGTACCCACCCACCTGGTGTCCTCAACCCTCCTGCCTCCCCGTTGCTTCCCAAACGCTGTGTCCTTTGAGATCCACTGTCCCTGACTCCCCCTGGGCATCCCTCAGGCCACCTTAACCTCACTGAATTGTTAAAGCACTTATTTTCTGTCCCTCTCACCAGGACACTTAAATTAAAATAGGCAGCCTTTGAAGACTTGTTTGGTGCATGTATACCCTTTCTTTAGAGAAGGGCTTGCCTTTTATCTTTCTCTCCCAGAATACATCTCTATGTTCCCCATCAGTACAGAGTTTTGATATACGATTCTAAGCGGTGCTCCAGAACTTTGCATTCATTCATCTCACCCATCACCACAGCATACAGTCCAGATTCCACGCGTGGTCCAAGAGCCTTGGTCTCCCCATGATACCTGCCGGTCTCTTTGACAAAGCTTCTCTGCTGAACCAAGCTCCAGGCTAGCTCCTCTAGTCTCAGTTGGGTCCTGGCCCCTGGACTTCTGTGTTTGCTTTAGCATTGTTCAATTTCAGCAAAATCTTCCAAAGTCAGTGTAGCCAGGATCCACCCCCCTCCATGTTTGTTCACCTTCCATATCTCACTGGGCTCCCCATCCTCCACCACTGCCCTCTGGGGTTGCCTGCTCCCCCTGGCCTGCCTCCAGCATGATCCTGTGGGGTCAGGTTAGCCCAAAGTCTCCTCATCTCTGATGTTTCCTTTCAGTAATTTTGCATCCTGTGACTCCACCCTGCTCCTAGGCTATATATCCCCACTTTTCCTGTATTCCGAGTTGAGCCCATCTTTTTCCTCCACTGCAGTAGACCCTGTGCCCTTCCCCCCCGTCTGGAATAAGCCCAGTCTCACTCTTCTTTAAGGACATTGTGAAATTGTTTCTTCAATGCTTTCTCCCCCTTGAACTCTAGTGAGCGCCCCAGTGTGCTCACCAGACCCATTTCCTTTTCCCATGGGCACCAGGCTCCTGAGTACTTCCCAGTGCCCTCTGTGTTGGGTGAGCATGGCAACCAGGATGTGCTGGGTGTGACTGGTTCCATCCAGGCTGGCCCTCTGGACCTGCATGCTCTTGCTTTGCCTTAGCCAGTGGATGCCAGTGGATGCCCATGGCCCCTGGGGATAATAGAAGCCATTGAGTAAAAGTGAGTTAATGTTTGGAAAAAGACTTTCTTCCGTCCATCCTCCCTGGATTGTGATGTGAGAAGTAAACTCTGTTCTATTTCACCACTAAAAATTTTATGGTTTATTCATTATAGATATTACTCCTGCCCAATTAAAACCTCCTTTTTAGTTTCTCTACACCATCTAGGAACAAAGCCAATCAACAAATTATAAGCTAGACTGGTTCCTGCTTCCCCCAAGGCTGAGGCAAGATTTTAGACTCTTGATTAGTCCTGTCACCCAGCATATTGCAGAGACCAGCATATGGTATGTGCTCGGTGGGTGAACAGCTGTATCAGAGCCAGCACAGGTACAGGGGAAGCCCAGGACCAGCCCATGGTAGGATCTTAAGTAGATGCTGGTATTAGCTTTTAGTTGCCGTGATAAAATATCAGAGGAAAACAAAGGAGTAAAGATGTCTTTTGGCTCACATCTCAGAGGTTTCAGTTCATGGTTGGTTAGCTCCATTGTTTCTGGGCCTGGACTTAGGTGGAACATCATGGCGGAAGGTATGGGGGACCAAAGCTGCCTCCTCGCAGCTGGGAACCAGAGAGAGAGAGAGAGAGAGAGAGAGAGAGAGAGAGAGAGAGAGGCCATGGAGAAGATATATCCTGATATACCTTTCCAGGGCACATGGCACATACCCAGTGACTTACTTCCTCCAACTGGCCCTACATCCTACAGTTTCCATTGCCTTCCAATAATGCCATCAAATTATAAATCTATCAGTAGATTAATTCATTGATGATGTCAAAGCTCTCATGATCCAACCACTTTTCAGGAGTCCCACCTCTGAACACGGCTGCACTGGGGACCAGGCTTTTAATATGGCCAACGTTTCAGATCTAAACCATAACAACTTTGGTCTCCTTCATTGCTAAGTGAACTTGAACCTGACCCTTCCTCTTGCTGGACCTCAGATTCCCACCAAAGTGGCCCACTCCAAACTCATTCGGGTCTTTGCATCTTCCTGCACCTGAAGGATAAGTTGGTGCTATAGTTTGGATCTTGACTGTCCCTCAAAGGCCTATGTACTAAAGGCTTAGTCACCAAACTGTAGTACTGTTGGGAGGTGGTGGAATCTTTTAGAAGTGGGCCCTAGTGGGAGGAAGTTATGTCATTCGGGGTGCACCCTTGAAGGGGTCATTGGGACCCTGGCCCCTTCCTGTCCCTGATGAGGTGAGCAGCTTTACTCCACTGTGGGTTTCCGTCATGAGGTGCTGCCTCACCGTGGGCTGGGAAGCAATGAGCCATCTGACTATGGACTGAGACCTCTGAAACTATAAGCCTAAGTAAACCTCTCCTCCCTGTAAGTTGGTTATCTCAGGTATTTTAGTCACGGTGATGGCAGGCTGACTAATACAGTTGGCTTCTTAATGAGAGTCACTTTCTAAAAAGCAAAAGGAAACTGCTCAGGAGCTTTTAACATCAGCCCCGGAAGAGTTATGGTTCTGTCGTGTGGGTCTGTGGAGAGCCATCCATCACCCACAGGCACCAAACAGCTCCGCAGAACAACTGACTGCTGCGCGCCCCTCAAGGAAACATCTTTCTACAAATAACAACATTCCTTTGAAAGTTATTTCCCAAAGGGAAGTGAAGATGAATTATGTGTGGTCTAAAGCCCAGGGGTACGCAGACAGGCAGAAGGCAATCACCCCAGCCCTGTAGCCATCCACCTGGACACGGTTCCCATGCCTACAGGAGCAGAGCCCCATGACCAAGGCACATGGCCAATGCCCCTTGAGCTGCACTTCCCCACCATGTTTCCGGACTCTCCTTGGTAAAGAAGAAAGCCAGAAAACCTTGATCCAGGCCAAACCCGGGGAAGCAGAGCAGGTTTTACACCAGCTCCCACAATGCCGTTCATTCACCCCAAAGTCAGAACCAGTGACCTCAGAGTGCCACCCTTTTTCAGAGACACCTTGGCCACTTAAGTTAGAAATGGAGCCTCAAGACTGGAGTGGCAAGGCTTTCTCTTTTCTTCCTCCACCCTGCTCCATGGAGCATAGAACTTACTATTTTAGTCTGTAGGACTGAGGCCAATACAGAGTTAGGAGGAAGACGGGAGGAGCCCAGTCTCTGAAGACATCCAGAGGCAGAGCTGCCCACTGGCCTTGGACGGCTAACTTGGAATACAATAAACACCTCCTGAGGTTAAGCCCCGAGGACATTTTTTGTATGTCTCTTAGTCTTTAATGCTTTATCTCCTCATGGGGGCCAGCTTTGGAGTTCACCAGTACTGGAGTGGAGTCTCTGATCAAAGGCAAGAGGAAGGCAAGGTGTGTTTCATGACAGCGGAATGACAAGTTCTAGCTTCAAACCCTGGCCGCCACGTTCTGACCAAGTGGCCCCAGGCACACGCCACCCTGGTAAGCCTTGTTAACTACTGTCACCCTGTGGAATGGGTATAACAGTGTCTACCCCAAGGAGCTGCTGGAAAGTTCCGCCCATGGCAAGGAGGTAGAAAATCGGCTCACAGTTTCTGGAGGGTATCTCCCCGGCTCAGTGCCCACAAATGAGATGCTGTGTTCTGGGTTTGTCTTTTCAAGTTCGATTTCGTGACCACAGTTTTCTCACTCAGTTTAAGTTGTTAACACTGGTTTCAGCTCTGTTGCAGGAACTTGTTCACTACCTTTTGGTCGTTTTTAAGTAGAACTTTTTCAGCATTGGGCTCTGCTGACATCCACCTGGCTCTCCTTCACAAGGGTTCTTCAAGCCTTGCTCCCTTTTGGCTGTGGGGCTCAGGTCACCAGGGGGTGACCTCTCAGTGAGAGGCGAAAGCCTGATTTCTCTAACAACATCCCAGGTGCATCCCGATGGCTCAAAGTTCTACTTCACTGATTTCTTTCCAACCCATCTGACATTTCTGGGGCTCAGTTTACCTTATCTACAGTGGGAATAAAGGCAAATAAGTTAGACAAGGTCCCGAAATGCCTGGCGAGTACCGGAGACTCGGTGTATGCTAATGGCTTTCATTTCCCTCACCCTGGGTCTTAGGACTTGCTGGTGGTATGAGAGAACCAGCGTTCAAGTTTGGGGCTGTGGTCTCACAACCCTGGTCTCCTATTGGTACCATTGCCAGTTTGTTTTTGCCTTGGAGAAGCTGGCAGGTACTTCAGATGCTATAAGACAGAGGGCAGCAAGTTGACTAGTGTGGCAGAAATGGGAGAGTCCACACCCCTCCCTGGCAGGAACTGAGAGAATCCTCAGGTCAGCCTCTATCCATGTTTGATGGAGAGGCAGGAACAACCTTCTTTACATTCCTTCCCATTACCTCTGAGTAAAGGGTTAGGAGGTGCAGGGGGCTTGACTCCATGGCTCATGCTGGCCAAGAAGGTAGAAAAGAAAGGGGGGGGTGGTGTAGAAGGAAGGGAAGAGAGAGAAACAGAGACAAAATAGATGTAAGTTATGCATTACTTGATGGTAGCTATGTTCTGAGACATGCATCATTAGGCGACTTTGTTATGTGAATGTCACCAAGTGCACTTACACAGACCTGAATGGCCGAGGTGAATCACTCCACGGGGTCTTTGATGCCAGCAAGAGCCCCAGTGAGCATGAGATGTGAGACTGCTGCCAGCAAACACGCATCCTGTTTTACAGCGCACCTTTTTATAAGCAGGAGTACTCCAGAATGTTGATACAAAGTATGGTATGATAAACACATAAAGAAGCAACATAGTTTATCATCACTATCAAGTATTATGTGCTGTACGTAATTGTATGTGCTGTGTTTGCAAGATTGGCAGTGGGGTAGGTTTGTTCAAACCAGCTTCAGCACAAATATGTAATACTTGATGCACAACATCACAGTGGCACCAGGTGATAGGAATTTTTCAGCTCTGTTGAAGTCTTATGGGGTGACCATCACGTATGTGGTCTTTATGTGGTGCATGATTGTATATGAGAGTCTATATGTTTCCTGTCTCTCTGAAGACAGAAACTCAGTCATTTAGCTTTCTTGGCATTTCCATTTTATTCACTGAACCACAATTCCCTGATCTGAGATTGTGAGTTGATAATTCCCAGGCATAGATAGCTACAGTAGAAACAGTAACTGGGAGTTTGAAGAAGAGGCCTATCGTTCTCATTAGGTGGCCCTTGGAAGTTCACTTGCCTTTTCTAGAGCTTGATTTCCTCATTTGCAAAGCACTTACTACAACCCAAGGCCAGCTGAGTCCTTGGGATCTTACCTTTTCATTTTTATTCAACAAAAAATCTCCCAATGCTGGCTTTTGTGTTTGTCACACTATGGACCTACAGCCACCTGGCTGAATGGAGGGTTGATAGTGAACAGGACAAGACAAACCTTACATGCTGTTACTCAGCTTTAATGAACGGGAGAAGCCTCCCTCCCACTCCTTGGTGCCTTCAGAAACCCAGATGGGACGTGAGACGGTCCTTGGCTAGCTAATTGACAGCAGCTTTCTGGTGGGGACAGTCTTGAGATCTTTCTGGTTGGTCCCACCCTGCCTTTTGTTCCTTCTGGGGCCTCAGACAGTGATTCTCAATAGAACATCCTGGAACTACCTGAACTGGCATCATCTTGGTGACACGAGGCTGCCCTGGCCTCACTCTAGGCCCGGGATTGACAGTAGGCATTTTAATTCTGTGACTCCAACATTCACTGGCTTTGGAGTTGATGACATTCCTTGGGTTTGCCGGTCTTGGGCTGATTTGGAACTCTAGCTTGTGCTGAAAAGAACGCGGTGACTCCTTAGCCCTTCAATTCGGCTGTCCACTTCTGGATTTGTTTCTGTCCACCCACGTTCCGCACATCCTGGACAGGACCAGGTGGACTGTCCTCTGCTCCCTCACTCCAGATGCTGAAGGATCTGCGAGGCACCAGCAGGGGGCACTGGATGCTCACTATTCTGTACCTGCCTTTCCTCCACCAATCCTAAAATCCTTACTAATTTTTCTTTTAAAAGTGGGAAAAAATCAGCCTTGAAGACTTCTTTCCTTAGAAAACTAGAAAAAAAAAATCAAATGTTCCTGGACAAAATGAAATTTCTTGTCTTTTTAATCAAATCAGCCAAAGTCTATCTTTTTCAGGGTTTTTATTGCATAGGGTGACCTACGACAGAAGGACCCACTTTCTAAATAAGGCTATCTTCTCCGATTTTATTCTTCACTCAGTGGGAGGAGAAAAACTCATGAGTTTATTTTATGGAAAAATATAGCTCTTTTCTCTCTGTATAAGCCTCTGAGAAGGTATTGACATTGACATTGACGGATTGCCCAAGTCTGAATATGTGTCTGTCTTTTACAGGCCTGGAGAATTTTTTTTTCCTAAGAATTTATATCTTGATAGATTGTTTCTAGTATACAAAATATATGTGACTGTAGAAAAATTGTAAGGCACACATATGCAAAAAAGAATAAAAATCACTACCGTGTCCATACCAAGACAGCCACTATAAATATGAGGGAGTTCAGTCTCAGAGCGATGCGCACTCCATCCATCCAAGGCTGACACTAATTAGTGGAGAGCCAGGATCCGGCACCACCCCCCATCTGCCAGCTTACAGGGCTTGTGAGAGTCACAGACCAGCTGTACCCTGGAGGGAAAGACTTCAAGCAGCTAAGAGCATGTAAAACAGGCCAATAGTTTTATTGAATAAAAACAGTTATCAAGAGGCAGAGTCCAACTTCCCTTCCTGGAAGTGCGGTTGACTTTAACGACTTGCTCGTAATCAACAGAGTGTGTTGGAAATGATGCTATGTGACTTCTGAGGCCAGGTCAGAAGCCACTTACAGCTTCGGTCTTGTCACTTGGGATGCTTGCTGTCTGACTTTTCCGTCTTGGGATACTCCCTCTCAACACTGCTCACTGCTCTCCTGAACGCATGTTGATAAGGTCCACCCAAGCCCAAGGTGCAGCCTTCGTCATCCAGGCCCACCCACCAGCCCACTGAAGAAGCCCCAGCAGACTGAGCCTTCCCACTGGAGGCGCAAACGTTAAGGAGTCTGCAGAGAGCCTTTGCCCCTGGTCACTGTCCAGAGTCCTGAACTGCAAAGCCCATGAGCACAATAAAGGGTTGTTAGTTTCTCTGCCACATAAAGAATGAAAACCAGAGAGGAGTGGAAAAGCAGCCCGACAGACAGACCCAGGCTGACCTTCCCAGAGCTTAGGAGGAAGAGGACCTGACTCACCTGTGGTCCTGTGGAGGTGAGGCCATGACCTAGGGCAGAAAAGAGAACCAATGTCAGTGTCTGGCACCAAGCTCCCTGGCCTCTCCCAAAGGGCTGTCATCAGAGGCCATCTGACAAGTCATCCCATGAAAAGGCTTTATGTTTGTGTGACTATAGGCTGGAAGAGACACTAGGGAAAATGTGGAAAATAGAAAAAGGCATATAGGAAAAAAAACACATTTTTGTTGATTCTCATGTACATATGTGTATGTGTATGTGTATGTGTATGTGAAGATGCTCACACACATCTAAACATAAACATATATGTATATATGTATATAAAATAATATAGAAGAATGCACAGGATCTTAGCCAGGTGCAGTGGCACACATCTGTAATCTCAGTTTCTTGGGAAGCTGAGGCAGGAGGATCAAAAGTTTGAGGCCAGCCTCAGTAACTTAGACCATGCCTCACAAAAACAGAAAGAAGTGGAGATGTGGCTCAGTGGTAAGGTGCCCTTGAGTTCAAGCCCAGGTCCATTTTTTTTTTTTTAAGAATGCAGGGTCTTGATGTTACAGATATATTCTCTTTCAATGTTATTCAAAACCATGATATTTATCAGTCCTATGATATTTTGGAAGAGGATTTAGTTCTCACTGTTTTTTGACTATTGTAAATACCATCGCCATGTGTGCTCATTCTTGCATTTTTAATCTCATCTCTGAATATTCCCAGGGGCAGACTTCAATCTAGTGCAGTGAACGGGCCACATAGCGTGGACATTTGAGGCTCCTTGTTGCAAGATACTCGTCTGCTTCTGAATGGGTTTTGTCAGTTCATAATACTTTAGTCTTATCCACAGAATATTAAATGACCATCTCACTGTGTCTCATCACCATTAAGTCCATATTTTAAAACCATTTGCTTCCTTGGCCCTTGGGTCCTTATTTTAATTCCTTGAATACTAGTGAGATTGAATGACTTTTTCAAATGTTTTGGGCCACATGGTGTCCTCCTTGGTAAATTCTCTGTCAGGCCTTGGACTTTCCAGCAAGGGCTCTGCAGATCACCATGCTCTCCCCTGGACAGTGTGCCTTTGGAAGCAGCCTCATCCTAGATTTCACAGATTTGAAAAGCCTAGAGGCAGTGGAAAGCTCCAGAGGATATGGCTTCCGTGGTCCAATTTGTTTGTGCCTTTGGTAATCCCTGGTCTTTGCAGTGCACATTTCCTTTGAGGCTCACCAAGTGCGTCACAGGAACAATTAATTGAGCATCGCAACACACATTGAGTGTAAATATTTATGAGGCCTGTTTGGTGGTTAGGATGTTGGGCACAGAGTAGTTAAGTGGTGAGGCCATGGTCCATGAATCCAGCTCACAGCCTACCCTGATGCTTTCTCTTCACCAGTTTCATCCTCAAAATAACCTTGTGGGGTACCTGTGACTGCTCCACTTTACAGAATGGGAAATAGGACATTCATAGGGCTTCACATTGCCTCGTCCAGGGAGCCCTAAGAGCCAGGGATTGGTCGCCAGCCTGTCTGTTCTCCTGCGTCGCTGTCCCCTCACCCCCAGCCCGTGGGAAGTGGCGAGTCATGCTCTGGAGGCCCCGTGCATCTGCGTCCTCAGAGCCCTTGTGGTTAGCCGCTGGCACCCTTTCAAGTTGCGTGAGATCTTGAAGAAATTAACAGTAAATCAGCCAGGGAGGAGTAAATCATTTACTTGGGGCCTGTGAGCTCTCTCTCAACACCTCAGACATATGGCCTCTTCTCTGACATCCTGGTCTTTGATTAAGGCCTCAAAAAGGCTCTTAGACTTGAAACTCAGACATGCAGATCAGAAAGGACATGCTTTTGTGATGTGTACTGTGAGCTCACTGTAAGTGTGGCTTGACATTCCATTGATGGAAGGCAGTGATTCCAGCTCAGGCTGCTTGTGAGGCTGAGCCCCGGGACTCGGAATACAAGGCAAGCTCCTCCAGAGAGTCTAGAATGAACTTGGGCTTTGACATTGACCTTCTTCTGACCTGGCTTACCTGGGTTTCCGAAGCAAAAGCATGTTAGAGATAACGCGATCTAATCTGTTGGTTTTACAGTACTGCTGGCAGGCTCCCCTGACCAGAGTCTGGGATGTGGAGCTGAAGTCCTGTGACATCCAAACACAGCAGAACAGAGGGAAGAGAAAAGAACATGGCTACAACATGGACCTCTGCATTTCTGTCTGGACACGGATCTAGGCTCATCTAGGTTCAACTCCAGCTAGTAGGCTTTTTTTTTAATAAGCCAGTTTGAACTATTTATATTGATTTTCACAATCCCCCTAATTCGATATTCTTTAAAAAATTTTGGACATATGAAAATCTGTAATTAGTTAATATGTACAATTTGATGAGTTTGGAGATATAACCGTGAATGGATAAATACTATAGAATATCATTTTTTTAAAAAAAATCTAAATCAACTCATAGAAGCAGAGGGGAAGGGTGGTGGCCCAGGGAGAGGGGAAGAGTCAAAGGCCCCAAATTTTGATTATGATAGACCAACAGGTCATGGGCAGCGTTCTGGGCAGCACAGTGCATAGCTGACAAGACAGTCCCCAAATTTTGCTCCTAAAGTAGATTATGTGCAATAATAATAATAATAATAATAAGTTGAGAGGGAAAGAAAGTTTAAGAGGTTATAGATAGGTTTATGGCACAGATTCCACCTGACAGACACTTATAGTTCTACTTTGGCAGATGCAACCAGACTTTACAGATTTGAGTAATAGGTAAAAAGGTGCAGTGAACAGTTTGGTCCCCTCCACGATGCTTAGTGTTTACAAGCCTATAGCAGCAGCTTAGACTGCAGAGTTGATGTCTGGAGCTTCCTCCCGTTTGCTGAAGCCATCTGAAAGTGGCTTATCTGATCTGATCTGCCTCTCTGCGGGGCCCCCAAAGTGGTGGTGCTCATTCATATGTCATATCCTCTGGGATTATGCACCCCGGGGCTCTCCGTGCGTGCGTCAGTACAAGCCAAGTGAATTAGCAGAGGAAGCATCAGCAAAACAGGGAACAGGGTTGTTATTCCAGCTGAGCCCGCTGCTGTGAGCCAGAGAGCTGGAGAAACAAGGGGGGAGGGAGAGGAGCAAGACTGGAACCATAGCCTGGGGCCTGGGGAAGAGGGAGTCTGGATGTCACGGTGCTGTCTGGCTGGTGAGTGGACATCATCTTGACACCGCAGCTGACAAGCTATCTGTAAAGGCTCTTTGCAGCTTGACAGCCCAGAGTGATGAATGAACGGTGCTGCTAGCGAACTTCATGGGGATTTGATGTGTCCTCTCCATGCTCCAGCAAGGCCATCGTGGTAGCAAGCTGCCTCTTGCAGGGAATTATAAGATGTGCCCCAGCTCCCTTTTGTCAACAACATCAGTAACAGCCATGTGCAAATGGGCCACAGCTGGATGGTGTCCTAGCACCCTGCTTCCTTTGGCACCTGGGTTAGAGTGAGCAGGTCTTCTTTCCTCTGCATTTCTGGTGTGTACAGACAGGTGTCAATGTCGTGCCAGGGGAGTTCAGTGCATATGAAATGAACAAAGCTGACCTCTCTGCCCAGGTCTGTGGTTTTCAATTTTTAAGGCTCATTACAAAGACAGATTTTTAATTCTGAATTATTTTAAAATTTTAATACTTTTAAATAATTTAATACATTTAATGATTTTTAATTTTTAAAGACTAGTAAAGTAAACCTGGCTCTCCCCCTATCTCTCTCACCTTGGCCAGGAAGAATTGCCTCGGATGACGCAGGCAGGGTGTACTTGCCTTCTACTGATCCATAGGAACAGAGTTTGGGTGGCGTGTTATTCCTGTCCCATAGAGACGGCACTCGGTCCTGTCTCCAGGGTCAAGTTCCTGGCATGGAGACTAATAACTCATTGCCCCCTCGAGTACGGTGTGTACAGTCCCCTCTGGATCTCTCCAGGTACCAAATGCTAGTCCAGAATTCAGCAGCAAACCCTTGAGAATGATCCAGGTGATTCACCCTGCCAGGCTTCCCTGCTCCCAACCCTCCAAGATGAACTGCTTAGCTCCACATCTCGTTTTAAGCTCTACCTCTGAAATTAAAAGGCTACTCCAGAATAAAGACAATTGATATTTCTCAGAGTCATTTTAAATACAGAGAGAAATGAAGAAAGATGTAAAATTTCCCTCTTCCCTTTGTTTGAATGTCCTCACTGCATTGGGAACTGAGTGCTCTCTAAAAGGCCTTTCACACAAGCCTCATGGCAGTTCTTGGTGGGCAGCATCTTTATCTCCATTTTAGGGCTCTTTTCTGGTGCCAAATGGAGCATTGAAGACATCAACTCACTCTTCTGTTTTGCAGATGGACTGACTGTGGTCAGCCCCCTGAGGAGCCATGGGTGCTGTGTGGTCACAGCCCTCCTGCCTGATGATAGGACCCACTGGCCACAGTCTCCATGCTCAGAGGGGGGAATTCGCAGGGGAAACTCAGGACTCAGATCTGGACATGCAGTGTGCCCTGAGAACAGGGCACCTGGAGGGCCACGTTAGCAGGCCAGTGTCATCAGGGGCCATGTGAAGCTTTGCCAGGCATGTGAATAAAGGGCGCTCAAGCTGCAGCTCAGAAAGGTCACATGGGATCACACAGGATTGATTGGAGAGCGAAGAACGGGGCTTATGGTAGACCAGAGAACAGGGCAAGGTGGAGGGCTTTCCTTGCTTCCCATGTGGCACCAAAGCCACCTCTCACCCCTGGGCAGGTCCCTGGCACCTGTCAGATGGAACTCACACTCTACAACTACAAGAGCACAGCTTGAATTTTGATTTCCTACACTGGTTTTCCTGCTCCTAACAGGGAGACCAGAGGCGTGCGTGCCTGGGACGTGGCCCGTGTGCACAAGCATGTTGCCGAATGAGCACGGGTGGGCTGGTGCTGGGTGAGGGGTGAAAACCACAAGCACGTGCCCAGGGAAGCATGGACCAGCCACCCGAATGAAAGATGGCCTAGAGAAGCACTGCTGGCCTAGTCTGGGTCTGCACTCAGACCTGTCCTATCCCAACAAGCCACTGAGCATCCACGTGTGGTAGGACTCCTCATGAATGCACAATTACTCTGCAATTCCCCTGGAGCAGCTTCTACATGTTTGTTCCATGTTGGAGACTGGACAGCATCTCCGACCCCACGTTACTTTGGAGCAGATGAAACTCACCCCCAGGTGGAATAGAGCCAAGTCTCATATTTAATAAGTGGATAAATGGGTCCATTCCTTCTTAAGGGCATCCCTGATTAGTTTCAAGAAATTTTTAAATAGACACATAAAAATTGTACACACTATGGATGTTTTGATATATGTGTACATTGTATAGTGTTCAAGTCAAGAATTCTTTTTTCTATATTTATAAAAAATATTTAGGGCATGCAAACACCTGCAGGGGCCGTGGAGAGAACACTGAAAGTATTTGGTGTCCCTCATGGCTGTGGTGGCTCACACCCTGGGTCCTCTTGGCTGGCGGAGGCCCAGCCTGTTCCCATCTCCTGGGAACCTGCCCTGCCAGAGCTATCTGGACTCCTCCCTCTTCTGAGCTCCTGTAGAATTTCCTGATTTAGTAATATACTTAGTAAAGCTAGAAAGTCACATATGATTTAATTTATTATTGATATCATATGCATATATTTTTGTTTTTTTCTTTTCTGAGTTGCATTTTAAGTTGAGGATAGCAAGTTTTTATGAGCTATAATATTTTCCAGATAAGCTATCAATGTCCCTGACAGATACTTAAAAATGAAAGCAAAATTCATCATTTTGATGGGTTCTGCTGCAGACAAATAAGAGTAGCAGGATGATTCGCCACGCCTAGCTTGACGGGCAGGTTCCTGTAGGGGGCCGTCAAAACCTGAGTCTTCTGTCCCTACTTGGTCTCTGTCTAGTCTCTTTGTCCCTCCAACCCTCTCCTGTTAAAGTGCCTTTTGTTACCTGTTTAGGTGTCTGGTATACAGCAGGCACAGTAGGAGGCTCTGGGTATAGTATAGGCAGTGGGCACCTTAAAGCCCGCGTGGGTCCTGATTTTATTCTCCTTCCCCCACCTCCCGAAAATGTTTATTGAGCATTTACGACATAGGATCCCCATGTGCAGAGTCTGAAGAAAGTTGGTGGCCGCTCCTTTGGATGGGGCATCCTCTGTAAAGGCACATTGGACCCTAGGGGAGATCTTGTGGGCCAGATCTTTCAGGAGGACACCCCGCCTTCCACCAGTGGTGGGGGAAGAGCTAGAAGTTGTTGTTGTGGATCTCTCTGTGCTAGAGAGGCCCAGAGCAGCCGCGCACAGGAGGAGGATGGGAAGAGCAGTGGCAGCTGTGCCCTCAGGCTCCTGGGTGTGCTGACTGGAGGCGTCCAGGAGGGGCCTCCAAGTGCACAGAATGGAAGACAGCGCCAGTCTCCTCAGTGAGAGGACTGGCCCCGGGGGGACCCTGAGAAATTACAGCCACCTGCACATTCTTGCCCTGGAATGAACTACGTGAGCTCGCGGCAGAGGGGGAATTGATCACGAATGAGGCAATGCATTGGGAAGGTCTGAGGGGACAGCACACAGTTAGTACTGAGCTGTCCAGAGGGGGCAGCAGGGCACAGGCATGTGGCAAATGGAGGAAGTGGTTGGAACCCTGGCTCTGGAGAAAGGACTCGGTCAACCTTCTTCACCTTCTGATCCCGCTGTGTCCCTTGGCTCCACGGGGCTCGTGTTCTGCCTTACAGTGTATCTTGGTCTCTTGTCCCTTTGCATCTCCACACCCCTCCACCCCACAGATGAGCATCCTGATGGCAGGGGGGGGGTCTTGTTCACCTTTGCTTTTCCCAAGGCTCACCCCAGTGGTCTCTAAGTGGTCCTCTAAGGGGAGAGGCACTCGGACACTCACGGTTCTCTCCCCCGCCCCCTCCTGAAGATCTTCTCTCTGTCCTGCTTTCATTCAGTGGGAAGGGACAGATCAGGAGTCAGGCCCAGAGGCCTCTCTTCCAGCTGTGCTCTTGGGAGTGATGCTTCCTGCCAAGGTTTCTCTACAGGCTTCCGTATTGCAGGGCAGCCGATTTACACACGGCTGCCTGACGTCGCTGGCAGTAGACGGGAGTCTGAGAATCTGTACTTCTAAGTTCCCAGGTGATGCTGATGGTGCTGGTCCCTGCTCCACACTCTGAGAACCACTGCTGAGAGGCAGCACCTTTATGCAGCTGTTGACAGATGTGCTTCTCAGGAAGGGGAAGCACATGGCTCTCCTTCAAATGGGAAGTCTCAGCAGGGGCAGACTACTGATCCTTAGGAATGGGAAACTAAACCCATGCATAAACAGATGTCCTTTGGTGTGTGCAGGATGTTGGTTCCAGCTCCACCATACCAAAATTCATAGGTGCTCACATCTCCTGTATAAAATGGTGTCGGATTTGCGCATAACTTACACACATCCCCTGTCTACTTTAAATCATCTTTGATTTACTTAGAATAACAAATACAATGCAAATGCTATGTGAACAGTTGTTATACCATATTGTTTAAAAATAATGACAAGTCAAATGTTTGCACATGCTCAGCACAGACCTAAGTTTTTCAACGTTTTTGATCTGTGGTTGGTTGAATACAGGGGTGCAGAGCCCACCGCCGTGGAGGCCGACTGTGCACTGAAGGATAAGAAGGTTTTGATCATTAAAATGCAGAAGTGGCACTGGATTTGAAGTCAGCTCAGTAGCTCTGTGACCACGGCCATAACATGCAACCTCTTTCAGGCTACTTTTCCCTAGCACTGAACGGGAATAAAAATACCTATTGAGTGTAATTGTGAGGGTTCATTGCCGAAGTTCCTTTTGACATCTGGTGCCTATTAGGTATTCACTTGCTGAGCGTGGACTCAAATTGGCAACACCAATTGGAATGTTTCTGTCACTATATAATGGGGATATAGCACAAAGTAAAAGAGGGTATTGGGATTCAGTCAGGCAAACATCATGAGCTGTTGGGACAAACTCCTCTTGCTATCAGAGATGGGTCATGGTTCTGGATATGGGAATAATCTGTACTGTTCTTGGAATGTCTCTTGGGCTGTATCTTCTGAGTGGACCTGACACTCAGCTTAGTGTCTTACTCTGTAAGTTACTGGGAGGCTACGTGGGCATGTTTGAGCCCTCTGCCTGGGTCTGGAGAGTCAGCACCCACACCTAACAGCACGAGGGCAATGGTGTGAGATGACCAGAGACAGATTCCATATTAGTAATGATCATGATATCTACCACTTACTGCTTTGCAACTCGTTATCCTCTGTGTTTTGTTTCCTGTGGAAGGGAGACTAGTGAAGTGTGACTGCTAGGATCCTGCGAGAGCTGCCCTAAGCTCTTAGATAATGTCTAGCACAGGGTGGGCACTCAGAGACCGTTAGCCTTCATTATGCATCGAGAACCTGCTACCTTTCAGGTATGCCACAGTGGCCATTGATTTATTCCCCAGACACAGGCACTGCTAGGTTCAGGTATTTGATGAAGAACAAGAGACACTGCTTTTTCAAATGCCATTTTAAAAGTACATGAGGCCTGTCCCAGGCCACACAGTAAGCAAGTCAGCTGAGATTTCAGTTGGGTTCCATGGGCTGGTTCTGTACTGTAAGCTGCCCACCTCTAGCTCCCCTTCTCCTGCATTATCCAGTGCTGGTCACTGGTGCCTCTATGGGGAATGGATAGTAGACCTCACATGCAGCTTCTGGGCATTTTTATTTGATTTATATATTTCAAATGCTAATTTATATTCATATAATACTTCCATTATAAAATATGCAGTGGTACAGAAATTTGTATGTATATGGGGTTTGTTTTTTTAAATTTGGGTTTATAAATGGTTTGGAACAGGTTGCAGAAACATCATCTGTTGCTCTTTTTAATATATCTTGAGCATGCTATGACACATTCTGAAATAATTTGCTTTGGAATAAAAGCATTGCTCTCCTCTCTGTCTTATTTTTTCCCCCTCAAATGTAACTGTAAATATTACTTTGATGTATGTAATTGCTTCAACCCTCTCCATTTGAAGGAAGGCTTCTAACCCTTCCATTCCCCATCTCTTGCTTTTGTCAGAAAATAAGAAAAATGAACTTAAAATGCATTATTCAAATGTTTTCAATGTAAACATTAAAGAAGTCTGAGAACAGCCACAAATTTTCCTTTGCTTAAAGTGGTTTTGAAAAACAATGCCAGTATTTTGTCTTACGGGCATTCATTTACTCTGCTTAGGGAAAATATTTATTCTAGCAGGACTTACGATCTCAAAACTGCTTGCAGCCTGTGCACACAGTAGGCCCTGCAGAGACTTTGCTGGACAGGCTTGAGTTGAACTGAGCTGGGATGGGAGGATGGTCATACTCATGCAGACCCCTGGACCACGCTGGGAAGACTGACCACCCCAGGAGGGCGTGGTGAGGGAGTGCTGGCTGCGAGCAGGGCCCTCATATGTTCTGAGCCTCAGGATGTTGCCAGGGAGTCTGCAGGTCAGTGCAGAGCTGGACTTGACTGGGTTTGGTCTCTTCTCAGTAATTTATTGACACTTGAAGCTGAACTATCTGTGGGCTCTTGTGAGCAGGACTGGGTCTTTTGTCTCTGCTTTTTCAATAGTCTGTGAAAATCCTGATAGCATAAATGCTCAGTACACATTTTTCTCAGTTGAGGGACAAAGAAACTTGATGATACAGGCAGGCGGCTCTCTGTTGCCTGCTGGCTTGTGAGACCCCGAGGTGAACTTGTGGTCGGATGCATGCTCCATCATCTAATCACTCACTGCAGAGGGACAGATGTCCCCCTCAGTGGCTCTCTCTCGGGCTCCAGCCCTGCTGGCTGTGCAGACCAGTCAAACCTCTTCTTTTGGTCTTTGGGTAGCCTCTGAGCTCATTACCGGAGCTGTACCTCGGTCACATGGACATTTTCCGTGTGAATGGGTGCATATGATGGCCAGTTTAATTGCCACAGAATAAAAATTTTCATTTCTCTTTCAATAAACGAGTAAAGATTCTGACCTGTTTTTTGGCAGAGTGGAGTTCTGGAATTTCAAGTCACTGGATTTTTCTTTTGTTGTCCTTTTATTGCCCCTGGGATGAAAGAAAATAGATTACAGCCAGGAGATAGCAAGAAGCTAAGGGAAAAATTAATTAAGTGCATTCATTCATAGAAAAAAAAAAACCCCACCAGTCAGATGTAAGTAATTAACGCCTCACGCACAATTCTGAATCCCTCTTTGCATTTCCACTGGGGTTAAAAAAGTTCATGTTTAAAGTAATTTAATTACTTAAAAACACTTTTATAAAAGTGTAAGAGCATCATCATACAGGGGTAGTATTATGGGGCAGGGACCTGTGGCCTCTCCCACATCAGCAGAGCCACCTTGGAATTGTTCCAAGCTCCAAGATCCTCTAACAGACTCATTCCCCAAACACCAAGTGCATTGTTTCTGCCACATGGTTCACCAGAGGCTGCTGAAATACTTCGAGGATGTCAACTGTGAGCCAGTGGCCAGCACATTCTAGATGGTTCCTTATATTTGTTGAATTGGACAAAACTCTAGTAAATATCATCTCACAGGAAGGCAGACTCAAAGCAAGAGCAGCTCTGATCCGAGTAATCTTTATGAAACTCCCATGTAATTTAGGCACTTTGCTAAGGCACTTTCCATGAAGAAATTAAATCATTTCAAATTGAAGTAATTTGTTAAAATTCATTAAATACATTCACTATCATAAACCCTCATTGTTATGCATCCCTAGTTCATTTAATTAGGCCAGTTCAACAAACTTTCTTTCTCTTTGCACACATTTCATCAGCTTTATCAAACACTTACTGGTGACTTTTTCCTCCATAAACAGAATTTCCTTGAACATCGGCCCATAAGGTGGTCTTACCTCGTCTCTCCTGCTCTCCTTCATTTGGGCTAGCCTTGCCTCTTGGGCCCTGGACTGTCCCTGGCTTCATCCCACAGGGCTCTCTCAGGTCCAGTGTCCCCTTTCTGGGACACTGATTGTCTTCCTTTTTTTGACTATCTCAGGTCTCTGACCTCGGCTCAGGGGTACTTCCCCAGAGAAACTTCCTGGCTTGCAGACTGGCTCCTCTGCAGTCCGTGGCTGGATTTTAATTTCACTTTTGTTTTAGCTCACAGTTTGCCTTTGCATCTGACTGCCAGCCAAGGGAGCCTCCTGAGTGCCTGGAAGTGTGCCTGGTTACAGGGAGCCTCCAGGGACATGCAGAATGCACTCGGGGACTGTGGGACAGATCTCATGATAACTTGAGGGCCCCTCTCCAACTCGCTTTCATGTGTGGCCCATGGAATGTAACATGGTAAGTAAAAAATACAGTGAGTTGTCTCTCTGCAGACTGACCTTTTAGAAAATAATGGTGTTATTTTGTGATTTCATGATTGCTTTTCATTGTTTTTGTTTTTTAATTGTTCAAAATGATTTCATTGCTCTATCATTTCCGTATTTTTTTTTTTTTTACTGTTCTTTTTCCATCTGGGCAAATTGATTCATCGGTCCATATGTGCACCTTGACATCATGTCTATCTTCGGACGTGGACATCCAACTGCTGTCTGGGTCTTTCTTACTGATATCCTGCAGGCCTGACTGTCTCCCTGGGGCGAAGTGCCACTGCTCACTGCTTCATTTCCAAATCAGCAGCCTGGGCCTTAAGCTGGGGCCTCCCCTTTCCTCCTGCTCCATCATTGCCATCTTGCAGACCCTAACACTTGGATCTGTAAATGCCTCTTGACAGCATCCGGTCCTCCTCACCTCATAAGCCAGCCTCTGCTTTCAGCGGCTCCCTCCTGGCCTCGAGCTCACCCCCCCCACCTGCTTTCCTGGACTCCTAGGCTCCAGTTCACCCAACAAACTGCTGCAAGAACAACTTTCTAAGTAGCAGGATTCCAACAATGTCACCTCCCTGCTTGAAAGTTCTGCCTGGTTCTCCATTCCTGCAGCATAAAATCCATTTTTTCTTTTTTTACCATAATAGCCAAAATTGCTTCTCTATGACCTTGAATTCTATTTCCATTACCACGTTCTCATTTCTGGCTGCCCTTCCTGCCAGGCCCCCATGCTGTAACTTCTGAGCCATATTTTATTTATGTGTATTTTTTTTTTTTTTGATGCTCCTATATCATCCATCAGATTAGTCTTTATGCCTCCTCTGGATCTGTCAAAATACTTTTCATTCTTCAGGGTCAAGTTCAAAGGTGTCTTCCCTATGACTTCTCTCCTCCTGCTGCTGCTTCTGTGAGTGCCTGTAGTACTTTTGCAAGCTACTGCCTTCCATTCATCCATTTATTCAAGAATCCATTTGTTCATTGACTCAACCAATAGCAACTGGTCCCATTCTGTCCCAGGCAGGTTGCTTAGCAATGAGATACAGTAATTATAATTATGGAAGACAGAGGAAGCCTGCTGCATGAGGCCGATGTCATACAGGGTGAGGGCAGGCAGTAAATGAAACAATCTCATTTTATCATATTGCCCTGTATGTGCCTGTGTGTTCCTCTCCCCTTGTGTTGGTCCTCTTGCCAGGTGGCATATCTTGGACATCCTTTTCTTTCCCAGAACACTGGCTAACCCACCCAACATGCTGTTGGGACACTTTGTAAGATAATTAATAGTTACATAGATAAGTAGATAACTGACCTGCCAGGCTAGGTTCATGTGCAATAGTGAACCATGTACTTACTTAAGTGTGTAAAGCCCTTGCATAGAAAACTCTGCACACTCCAGGATAGCTGGAATTGCCACAGGCTTGTGGAGAAACTGAGGCCCAGAGTCCCTGGCTCAGCCAATGAATCATCCTGCACTCCCTTCACATTCTGTTAAAACAGAGCACATGGCCAGCGAGGTCCAGCTTCTCATCCTGACTTCCCTCACAGCACTGAGGGTCCATGCTTTTCAGCCACCTCTGACTTCTTTTGTACTTTACTTCTTCATGGTCAGTCAATAAGATCCACCTAGTCCTCCTTCACCCCTCTTCCTGTTTCCTCCCTTCCCTGCATTCCTTCTGGAACTGACCTCTGCAGACCTGCATCACCTGCCAGATGGACCCAACAGAAGCCAGTTCTGGGTCTTAGAATCAAAATATATCTACTGTGGTGGGTTGAGTGGTGGGCACCACAGTATGTGTCCACCTGGAGCCTGTGCCTGTGACCTTACTTGGAAAAAGAGTCTTTGAAGACATAGTTAAGCAAATAATATTGAGATGAGACCATCCTGGTACAAAGTGGGTCTAAATTCCTGGCATGTGTTCTCGGAGAAGAAAGGAGGAGGAAACCTGAGGAAGAAGGTCATGTGAGGATCCATGTGAAGAAGGAGGCAGAGACCGGGGCAATGCTTCCACAAGCCAGGGGACCCTGGGAGCCACCCAAAGCTAGAGGAGGCAAGGGAAGATCCATCCCTAGAGCTTTTGGAGGGAGCATGGCTGGGCTGATTCTTTCCTTTCAGACTTCTGGTCTCTGGAAGGTGTTTAAAGTTACCCAGTTTGTGGCGGCATTTCAGGGCAGAACTGGGGAAATAATATGCTGACCACCTACCCTGTCCCGGGGAAGAGAATGAGTCAGAGTCCCATGGAAGCCTGAGCTGGGCAACGCACGCCAAGGTGAACACACACACGCTCGAAGAAGAAAGGGAGAAGATGGTCAGATCATTAGGTGGAGGGAGAGGTCAAGGAGGGCCTCTGGGTGGTGACGCTGGTTTGGGATTGAAGGACACCTGCATATTTGCAGACCGATGACTTGGTGAGATGGGGGTGACCCACAAGGAGGGGAGTCTATCCAGCAAACGAGAGATACCGTCTCCAGTCCAGCCTGGCCATTTCTCTCATGTCTCACCTGTAGAGTGAGATGCCCTCAGCTACAGCCTGGGCAGATGCACAGGAATGAAAACCAGTGAGAAATTGCACACGTTGCCCTGAAGGTGTGATACTCTTTCAAGGACTAGTCCAGATAGAATTTTTTTTTTTAACTCTTAAGATCATGAATAATAATGACATATGACATTCTAATTGGAGTGATAATCAGAACAGCCAAACGCTTCTGTAAGACTTAGCGCTCCCTGGTCACTGTTGGCTTTCACACGTGTTAACCCGTCTCACCCTCCCAGCAGCCTGGTGGGGCCAGTTCCCCACCCTCTAGAGCTTTCTCTCCTGTTCAGCTCCTGCCCTGTCTCTTCAGAAACTGTCTCAGGTTGGGCTCCCGAGAAACAGGTGCTGAGGCAGAGATGGTGTAGCACGTGTATCAGGGGGGCTTCCCAGGATCAACCCTGTGCAGGGAAGAGCAGGGGCAGCGCTGGGCTTCTGGTTGATAGTCTCAACCATGGACATCTCAGTGATTGAAATGATGGCCTTGGAGAGCTCTCCTGAGCTGGGGTGGGAGGACTGGGCTGTGGACCGTGGTGGGCCAGTCAGTGGCTGCGAGTGCTCCAGGTGGGGCAACTCCATTCAAACAAGGCTGAGGACGCGACCTGGGCAGCATCTAGGACAAGACCAGGTTGGATTCTGACCCTGTATTTAGTGAGCCTGAGGACCCTCCAGAGAAGAGGAGCTGGGCTCTAATTTTTAGTAAAAGAGAAGAAGAAAGAACCCAAAGAAGAAGGAAGAGTATGGCCAAGGGCAGGAGTTATCCTGAGAGCAGATGACCCCTGGCAAGGAGTGGACAAGCAGGTGACGTGGGATGGGCACACGGGGTGTGTACACTCTGGTGCCTGGTTTCCATTTGAACGCAGTCCTGACAGCTGAGCAAGTCACTCTGTTTATCTTGTTCCCAGGGCACACACAGGGAAAGGTGGATTATTGCACTTTCCTCACATGTCCATCGCTTATTAGTGATCACATGTATTATCTAGGGCCCAATTCTTTCCCCCAATCCCTAATTAACATCACAGGTAGGCAACCAGCTGCATCAAGGACAGTTGACATTGTATTTCTACCAGGTCAAAGTGCACGTTACTCAATTTCAGGGAAGCCAATCTACGTCTTGGAGCTATTACCTAATTTGACCACAAAGTTGTTCCTTTATTTTGGGGGGGGTGCGGTTGGTGCATAGCATGCCCTTATTATTCCATACAGCAGGGGATACCAACACAAAGTGCTTTTCAACTTGAAACCAAGCAACATCCAAGAAGCTCAAGACCTACTGCCAATGTAGGCTTCCTACTTCAAATGCAGATCATTTCAATCTTCCTTCCACCTTCCTTCCTCTGGGACCCTTGGGTGCTCTGGATGGACATTCTATGTAGATTTGACTTTCTCCAAATGCAGTGGCTGTATCATTGTTAGCCAGTTCGTGGCTCAATATTTTCTTAGAATATTGCATTCCAGCATGTCCTTTACAGCAGGAACTCGAGCCTCATTATCTAATCTCATTCTACAAAACTTTAAAAGCTGTATCATTGCATAACCTTAGAATTCCTTCCAGTTCTTGCCAAAGGCTTTGATTGCTCCAGCCAGCTTCTGCACAGCATACCGTCTAGAGCAGGACAAATCTTTCCATGTAATGAGATCCCTTTGGCCAGGTCAAGTTTTGTTCCTTCATTTCCTGGTATAGGAAGCTCATCCCTAGTGACATCTTTGAAACATTGACACTGTCTTTGTTCTGCTGTCTCCTCTAAGTCATCATCAGGCCCACTGTGAAGCCCTAAAGTCCTTCTGTACTAGTTGTGCCTCCTTCTTCTCATGCTCACAGCATCTGCTTGTCCCCACCCTTGGAGAGAGGGAAGCCGGGACAATGGCCCACGTTGTCAAGCACAGAGGATCTTTCTTCTCAGCGGGCAGCAGTGCCAGCTCTTACAGACCTGTGATCCCAGCGTGGCCCAGCTGTGCCAGCAGGACACGGTGTGCTTTTGCATGGTCCTCCAGGAGCCACAGCCTCCCCGTGGCCACCTGTTGCCCTTCCTTTGCTCTAGCATCACCTTGGACTCACCTTGGGCCTCTGTGAGGTTTCCTTCTCCTTCATACAATGATGAAAATTTCTACTGCCTTGTGAAGTCTGTGTGATTGGGTTTGTTCTTTCTCCTTTACACAATTCACCAATTCTCCCTTGGTGGAAATCACCGTGTCTGGATACCCGTGGTCATAAATCCCTTAAACAACAGAGTGCTTAGTTGTCTTTCAAAAAATGCCTCCAGAAACCACTCAAGGACAGTTTGAAATTGTCTTTTTGAGAATGAACACGTGTAGAAGCCAGCTCATGCAGCCAAAGACCTTTTGATGTCACAAGCTCAAAATTCCCCTCTCAGAACATGAAAACCATTTCCTCCCACCTTGCCAAAGGGAATATGTTGTCCTTGAAGGGGCATAATGACCAGTT